TGTGATTGGTAACGACAACATTAAGGAGATGAGGCTAATGAGAACGGGAACAATCTTATTGGTTCTCAAAGGAGCTATTGTGATGGTGACTTATTGCAGTTAGCACTCTAAACAGCAACACAGCTGACGCAGGTACAATGGAAAGAGAAGGGAAGTTAGTGCTTTTGGGTAAATAAATAAATGGTTTGAAAATCTGGGTCAAAAGACTTAGACCGAGCAATACCAGCACTTTCGCTGTTTGTGGCAAAAAGAGCTCCTGAATTTAGCTAAATGCCAGTATAATAAGATGGGAGGGGTTCGGCAAAAAACATTTGATAAAATACTTTTGGCACGCATAGAATCTGGTTGTCTTGTCAAGAGCGGAAAGCAAAGCACAGGTTTCCTCCGAAACGGAAACTCATCATCCCGATCATACTCCTAGCAATCAGCAGGAACCGCTTTGTCAGTTTTAACGAGGTCAGCAGTGATTCTGTAAACGGCAGCCTGCGGCGAGTATAAAACCACTAACTCATGGTGGATTTCTACGAAAAAACAAAACTCATCAAGCAAGGCTGTGTCTATGACTAAAAAACAAAAAAAAATACAAAAATTACCACTATCACTTGCAATAACAGGAAGACCATTATCAGATTTCAGAAGAAGTTTTTTGCTGGGTATATCGCAAGTTATATCAGCATCAGTTGACCTCTTCCTTGTCAGCGGACTAACTTCCAAAACATTCTTATCGTCTCCCAGTCTGAAGAAACCCATGAGAACAGTGTATTTTCCTGTGTATTTTCTCAAAATGAGAATAAACTTACTTCACTTCTTCACCTCCAACTCCGAAAACGGGCCTATGCTGTACATCTCCTATCTTATTGTCTTCACCAGCTTTAACATCGACATCACTTATTCGATCCATCACCTTAAGCACCTCTGTTTGAAAGGAGTGGTAAAATTTCAATAAATCAAAAGAAGTAATTAATAAAGCAAAAAAGTGGTATAATTGGGTGTCGAAATTAAGGAAGGCCTAAAACAGAAACGAACCACCTCTGGAGTAGACGCGCTCTTTTGAATGGATTCAATTGTTTCACACTGTGTTTCGTTGAGAATTGACGCCACAGCAAGCAGCATTGTTGGTGTTTCCTTGATGAGGAAGATAGTTGGTGGCGACATTCAAATTCTCAGTCGATGCAGAGGTCATGCGAGCCTAAACGAGGGTTCCATTTCAAAAGATATAAAACAGATTTTTGACTTGTTTTTGTTTGTTAACTGCTGTTTGTGGCCGCAGTTCGCCTGCGAATGTTTCACAAAGAATGCTGAGGCCTTGTGAAAAAACCTTTCGCCCCAGCCGGACTAGAACGCAGCAAAGCTATTCTCAGCTTCCGGGAAGTGGCTCCAGTTGGCGCATAACGCACTCAGAGGGCGCGGGCCAACCATTTCATCCCAACTCAGCTTTTCATGGTATACGTACCATGCTAAAGCTTTCAGCCTCGCGGTCATTGCCGATATCGGCTAACCGGCTCAACACGTTATACGTGTGAGTGCTGAAAGCTATGGTACGTATACCATGAAAAGCTGAGTTGGAATGAAATGGTGCCCCGGTAGCGTAACTGGTAGCGCACTTGCCCGGAAAGCGAGAGGTGCGGGTTCTAGTCCCGCCTGGGGCGAAAGTTTTGTTCACAACCCAGCATTCTTGTGAAATAAAAACAGATTTTTTTGGTAATATCTGTATCCGTAAGCAATTGTATCCATTTTGGTCTTCACTGAACTGGAATTTGTTCAGTGTTACGGTTCCTGTCTAGGCCTTGAATTAATTAACGAAATTAATCGGTGTTCAATCTAACGCCAACATTGAAGGAGAAGAAGGAGCCTGAATTGGAGAACCCAGGCTCCACAGAAAAAAAAACAAATGGGAAATTGAAGTGGTGCCCATCGAATTATCTGCATAGTAGCGAGAAAGCAAGCCAACTAAATGTAGCCTCACTCTGCCACTCTGCTAACTGCCTTGATAAACACCAGACTTTGCGCCTAATGCTTCTTTTGAGATCAAAATGCGCGTACGCCCCGCTGCGACTTCTACAGTAGGATTACTTTCAGTGCTTGTCAATAACTGTACAGGTTGTTGGCTCGTTTTCTTTGCAAGGCTTACGCGATTCACGAGAATGAGGCCACTGCATGGTACTTTTCTGCTCTTTTCTGAGCTCTTAGAAGGCCACTCAATCGCGTATCTTACCAAGTTAACTTTTCATCGATTTCCCAACGCACGACTGACCTATGTATAAAATGCAGAACCACCAATAACTTTACGCTAGTAGAATGAAGTGCATATAAAGATGCATCGGAAGAATTTGGTCAATGAAAGAATAAATGCGGCCTGTACGAACCCTGGAGCAAGCTCAAAAAGAAACAGACCAAATTAGAACTTGAGCCCGTCCCAGACGACGTTCGAGCAATCGTGCGTCTAACAGCATGACGACCACGCATGTAATCCTCTTTAGAATCACTGCCCAACATCGGCCCTCCGAACATATTGCAGATCAACCTGGTAATAGAACAACCTTCAGATAAATTGTCTACCACTCACGGTCATGTACGTAGAAATAAAAGATTTACTCAATTTGAGTAAGTAGCTCAGTAATAACCTTCATTCCATCATTGTAATTCTTCATTTTAATGCCAGTCGTTACAATTATGTGATGGAACTGGCTGATTTCCACTGTCAAATCGAACGCTTTCGCCATTGCACGATCAAATTCCAAGCCGATGAACCACAATGTGCAAACTGGGTTCCTAAAAAAGACTTAATGCATCTCGGTAGGTGATTAAACGTAGTGTATTGTTCGGATTTAGGCCGCAAGATTGCAAAAAAAAAAACCTTTCTCAATCTCGATAAACTTACTCATATCCAGGACCGAATTGAAGGAACAGCAGTAGGTAGTGGCTTGTACTGCCGAGGATTAATATGAGCTAATGAAATGCCTTGATTCCTTTCAAGGGCACCAATTAAATGTCGGATTTTTGATTCCACGAAACCGCAAAAGATCAAGTGATCCTCTTCTGTTCTTGCTGCACAAGTCAGAGCTTAAAATAGATTCTTCGTTAGCCCATCTACTACCAAATATAAATTCGCTAAACAACTCACAAATGAAGTGCTTATATCTTGTGAAGAAATTTACTTCCTCGAAAAGTTTTGACCATTCTGCTCGACCTTCGTAAATGTCCTTCATTATTTCAAGTCCTAAAAACTAGCGAACTACAGCATTCAGAGTTTAGGCAGACGAGAGATCGGAACCTTCTTTCATTTCGCTAATCATTATGCTCCTCGTTGAATTCGTGACATTGAATGTGGAATTTTGTTCAGGAAAAGCAGGAGTTAGAATGGGCATGAGATGAAACCTAAAAACATTTATTATTCTCTGAAAACTCTAAGTATAAAAGCATACAACGAGATAATCCCTACAACACTGACAGAAAACCAAGACAAATACCTGTCGGATCCACGAATTCGAGGGTCCCATACTAAATCTTGGAGGTTGCCAATATCAGGCCGACAAGTGGTATCCATGTCTTTCAAAACAACAGGAAGGGGCCACTCCCTGAACAGCGACAAGTGCAATGAGCAGAGATTCTTACATAGCCAACATAGCATAACTTACCATGTAACGAACACTAGAAAAAATTTGAGGAGCAATTTAGAAGGCGAAGCATTGGGATACAACTGACATGTTCGTGCTACCAATATTGCCCATGTAACACCTCCGAGAAATCCTTTAAAAACAGCAACATCAGATTAAACAGCCTTTTTGCTCAAGCGTGAATGTATAAAAGGCCCCTGGAAACTTACCAAGAACATTTGAGTAGATGCCATGGTTCTTCGCCCACAACTTAACGGCCCGCAGACACAATGCAAATGCTTCAGGATATGGCACTAAGCGCAATATTTCATCGGCTACTCGACAACCTAGAATAATCGAATTGACTGAGAAACTAGCTGTTTTATGGATACAATTGGTTCCAGAATTACTCGTTGCAAATTAACTAGGCAAAAACTAAAGCGATGAGTTCCATCGGTTTTCATGAGAAAATGAGAGGAAAACAGGTAGGGAAGAGTAGGGCGATGGGCTTTCAAGCATACACGTTCAATCTATCAATTCGAGAATTATTCATGGCGTTTCTTTCTAGAATCAATAGCTTTCTGATAATGTCAAAGAAGAAAGAAGTCCGAATTATTCATACATTGGTAATACAAAAAAGTACCGTTTAATGATCTGATGCTCTTATCGTCCAGATTCTTGAGAAGCATGTCGTCGTTCAAGGTTTGATCATCAGGCACTTCCTGAAGACGGCTTCATCAACTAGAGCAACACTCGCTGATTGCGATAAAGATCGGTATGGTACTGACATTTTCACGATGACCGATGACGGTTTCAGTATCAGTTAAAACCCACACGGTCCCTCGCATTATACGATTATATCTTGAGCTTAAAATACAAAAGGCAAAGGGAAACACAATGCACCTAACAGACTGCGCTGTGTAACTTTTCCGGCTTCTTTCCCCACAATCCCGCAATTCTCGAATGACTTCATTAATTTATTTCAATTCATCAGACTATCTCCTCATGCCGTATTACCATTATACGAACTGAATCACATCTAGGTCCAAAATCCCGACTTAATTAAAGGCGCTCTCATAGTAAGTCGTCCGATCGCAACGATCGCACAGCATTACATACGTATCGATCGTTGGACGCGACGGACATCATGACGATCGATGCGCACCTAATGGTGTGTCATTATCACCTTCTATGGAAACGAACTAACGGTGGTCTACTTTCACCGCTGTTATAATTCTCGGTATGAAACTCAGAATGTGAGAGGCACGGAAGGGATAAGCAGGTCTGAAGAAACCACAAATGAAAGAGTAGGTAAGAAATGGATATTCCTTTGCATCGATCACTGTTGCGAAAATGATCATAGAAACACAAATGACAAATTAAAGAAAAGACGGAGATAAAATGAAAAATAAAGTTACATATTATGTTAATAACTTTAGAAAGTTCCTAACTGCTACCTTTAAAGCTAATCTCGCAAAAAGGATATCAAGCTCAATGCCAGCGTATTTGAGCTTAATGACGGGGACGAATGCATCTTCGACGGCGTGTAGATCAGTAACATTATCATCCTATAAAACAGATGCAAGCACGAATACTCAGCAAGAATAAGCCAAGCCATAATACTCACTGCTTTGAGCATGTCGTAGAATGAGCCAAAGAAATCCGACCGGTCAACATGCCTAGGTGCTACACAAAGCGTATCAATATCAGCGCCTAAAAACATTTTAAGGTAAAACATTCAAATATTTAATGCAGTAACTGCTATTTTGTTAAGAATGGTAGGTAATGCTGGAGCAAATTCAAATGAGGAGTTTAGAAATCAACGTACCTCGTGTATGCACTCCTAATCTATAAGATCCAAAAGTGAATAACTTCCCACCAACATTTTCACACATTTCAGCAGGAAGCTGAAACCACGCAACAATTCGTAGTGGAACATTGCTTAAAACAATGGGAGTGGACTTTGATTAAATGCAAGGGGAATACCTTAGACTCTGACACCTTTCGCACCCAATTTTTCACTAATGAGTTGAGTTTGCGAAGAACCTCGATCCTTGCATGC